ATCCATCCATCCATCCATCCATCCATCCATCCATCCATCCATCCATCCATCCATCCATCCATCCATCCATCCATCTCGTATGTCTATCTATCGGCTGTATGTCTGTCTGTCTGGATGTCAGACAAAAAAATAAAAAGTGATACAGGAACAACCAGTTCAGTTGCTCATTTCTGAATGGAAAGTATGCCAAGAAAGGGTTTGTGTTTTCAATAATGAAACCACTCGCAGTTCCTAAAAAAATGTAGGTATAGGGACTAATTATCACTGTTATTTGGACATTGGCTGTTTATTATTGCTTATAAAGTAGATATTTTGCACAATCTTCAATATAATACAGTATCATCAGATGCTTGCGCTGAGATTCCATAACATGCAGGTTCTGATGAACGTGAATGCTGTAATTACCAGTCTTCTCCTCTAGATGTCGCTGTTGTATTTCCTTTGCTCGATGATTCAAGATCGCCTCAGTTTAGGCGGGAACATGGAGCTAGTCAATCAATCGATCTGTTCCTCCTTATATACAGTAAGCTACATAATAAAAATGGATATACTTCATAAAGCATGTATAAACACAGAATAATTTATCATCTCTAAACGCCAGAAACTGTGTCTTAATGTCAAACCAGAATCTGAAAAATACAGCATATACCTCAGTACAGTCATTTACAGTTTTTCTCAGTGGCTTTGGTGCATTTCAGGAAGCGGACGTTTCATTTGAATATTTTTTTACCCTTGGGAAAAGCAACATTTCAGTTCTGACATAACATTTATTTAATTAAAATAAGCAGTGGAATTTAAATCATAACAAAAACAGACAGGTGCAAAAATCTGGGCACCCCATCAGAATAATGACATCAATATTTTGTAGAACCAATTTATAGATTTTTGATGATGTTCAAGTCTAGAGATTGGGATGGCCATTCAAGAACATTTTATTGTGTATAAGCATGAATTCCTTGGTCAATCTGGAACTATGCTTTGGTTTATGGTCCTGCTGAAACATCCAACCCTGTCATATCTTTTAACTGATTCCTAAACATTGATCTTCAGAATCTGCTTATACTGGATGGAATCCATGTGACCTTCAACTCTGATAAGTTTTCCAGTACCGTGTGCTGGCCTCACATCCCCACAGCATGACGGACCATTCACCGTACTGTATGCTACAGCAGGGAGCACGTGCTTCTCTTGAAATGCTGTTCTTTCTCTGCCATGCAAAAGCACCAAATAACTCTATCTTGGCTTCATCTGTCCACATGCAGTGAATTTTACCAAAATGATTCAGGCTTGTCCAAATGAGCCTTTGCATACCTCACGCAACTCTTCTTGTTGGCAGAACGCAGGGTAACACTTTATTTTGATGGTCCATTTGAGTATTAGTAGACTGTCTGCTTAATATCTGTTGATACTGATGCTAAACAGACATTTAACTGACTTAAACTAACCCTAACCCCAACCCTAAAAGTCTACGTATAATCTATTGAGAATTAGTTGGCTTGTTTATGAAATGTAACTTAAATTCAGCAAACGGACTATCAAAATAAAGGGATACCAAGTGCAGAAAAGGCTTCAGCATCACTTACAATTGAGCTGTTATTAGTGGAGAGTGTGCTGGACTGTGGAACGATCTACAATGACATTATCAGCAGCAAGATGTTCCTGGAGCTCTTTGGAGGTGGTCTGTTGTTTGTCTGTGACCATTCTAACCATTCTTCGCCTTTACCTTTCAGAAATTTTCTTGGCCTACCACATCTTTACTTCACCAGAACTGTTCTTAAGGCCTTCCATTTACTTACTATATTTCTAACTGTGGACATAGAGACTTTAAGCCTTTGTGATAGCTTTTTGTATCCGTCTCCTATTTCATGTTGATGAATTATCCTAGTTTTAAGGTCATTAGGAAGTTCTTTTGAGGTTCCCATGTTGCTACTTTCTGGTGCACAATAAGAAGAAGCACAACTATCAGCTGCCTTAAATGTCATTGTTCATGATTGGTTGCATCTGTGTTAGGATTGTTAAGATTCACTGAGTCACTCAAATCAATTTTGTGTTGTAATCAATTAGCATCAAGTGACTACAGGTTTTGAAGTCCACACGAAGTGCTTATGATTGAACACAGCTGATACTTCATCAGCTCCGTATATTGCACCAATCAGACGAATACTTACACACTATAAGTTACCAGAGCTTTCTACTCCAGTCATCTTCGTCTTCATCTTCCACCTCTACTACTCACCTTTTCTGATATGGCGGCATGGCTGCCCGGTGTTTAGCACTGTTGCCTCACAGCAAGAATCCCGCTGGTTTGGCCTCTTTGAGCTGGTCAGCGTTTATGCGCGGAGTTTGCATGTTCTCCTCATGTTCGTGTGGGTTTTCTTTACAGTCCAAACACATGCGCTATAGGTGAATTGGATGAACTAAATTGGCTCTGGTGTATGAGTGTGTGTGAATGTGACTCAAACCAGTAACCTTCTTGCTGTGAGCCGACAGTGCTAACCACTGTGCTGCCCAGATTGTATTTTTTTTCTATTTTATTTCTCTCTCTTCAAATTTGGGTTAGTTGAATGTTAATGAAATGAGTTTAATGTAAAAAAACAAATAAATAAAAGCTGGTTCTGTATGCAATGAATGTTTTTCCTTTGTTTTTTGTTTTTGTTAAACTGGTTTCAGCCAAACACATTTCTATTGGTGGATTAAGTATAAAGTTTTAATATATTTTCTAATAATAATTTGTATTTTTTTCATTGGAAAATATATGTATTTTAATATGTAATAATTATCAGTTCATAAGAATACATTTAAAACATGCATCAACTTGTTTTTGCTGCATTTGTTTGACTTGACTTTATCTTGATCAGCGGTGGTTCATATCATTGTGTGTTCTTGTCATTTGATGTTGTCTTTACATTTTTCCTGTTTGTTTGTCTTGCACGCACATCTTGGTTTAATGTTTGGGTTTTTAGTTATCGATCTTTGGTTTAAAATGCTCTTCTGTTGAATGTGGCTTTTAGTAAGAGGCAGCTGTGAATTTCTGCTGAAGGCTGTGGTTTATGCACTTTAGGGTAGTTTCACTATTATGACAGATCTAAAATTTATTTACATTGAAAAAAACACTAATATTTTAGTAAAGTTAAAATCAATTTATTACCCTATTAGCAAACGCTGTCGGTCACACTTTATTTTGATTATCCGTTTGGTGAATTTAAGTTACATTTTATCTACATGCCAACTAATGCTAATGGTTTTATTTTCTTTTTTTCAATAGTTCTCATGTTTAACAGAGCAAGGAAATTTGCACAGCATGTCTGATAATATTTTTTTCTTCTGGAGAAAGTCTTATTTGTTTTATTATGGCTAGAATAAAATCAGTTTTTAATTTTTGAAAAACCATTCAAGATTATTAGCCCCTTTAAGCTTTATATTTTTTCAATAGTCTACAGAACAAACCATCGTTATACAATAACTTGTTTAATTACCATAACCTGCTTAAATAACCTAATTAACTTGGTTAAGCCTTTAAATGTCACTTTAAGCTGTATAGAAGTGTCTTGAAAAATATCTAGTCAAATATTATTTACTGTCATCATAACAAAGATAAAAAAAAACAGTTATTAGAAATGAGTTATTAAAACTATCATGTTTAGAAATGTTGAAAAAAAAAATCTCTGTTAAACAGAAATTGGGGGAAAAATAAGCAGACTTCAACTGTAAATACATTTAGATCATTTACTTTATTCCTTACTATTGGAATGTGAAGAGACTTTCAACAAGCACAGCAAAAAATGTTTCTGAAGACAATCACCTACTACTGCACCTTTATTAAGGCTGATTTATACTCGACCCATCCACATATAATTATACATAATTCTGTAAGTAATCATTTTATAGTTTGAACTTAGTTGTGGTTTACTAAGTAGTTTACTTTTTTGTTTACTGACACATTTTTTACTTGAAGGATTCAGATTTCTACCTTCCAATCAGCATGGATCAGCGTTTATCCTTTTCTCATCATCCTGTTTCTTTTTTTTTATTAAAAATTATTATTGAATAATGAATAAATTTAACCCATTGCCTAATATAAGAATGTTCAGTGCATTTGCCTGTCTCTTTGAAACTATTTTCAGGAGCCACCAAACTAGGCAGAGGTCACGGAGACCTCGAGTGAAACTGAAGGGCTGAGGACTGGAAACATCTGTTTCTATCGTTATTTATATTAATAGTTACTACTGTCTAAAATGTCTAAATTGATTTTTCTATTTTACAGTTAATTTTTAAAAGTTATTCCTTTTTATGCTCGATAGACTTTGTGTGTAGTGAAGATATTGTTGCTGAATGTTGTTTAAACCAGGTTTTAGCTAGTTTGATAAGTCAGCTTAACGTACACAAAACGACCTTGAGTTTCCTTAACAGATTGCCTCTTGCGCCTATGGATGCCTCCATGGTTCAGCTTTTTACAGGTCGGAGATCAGCTCTTAATATTTTAGGGTCGGCCTGAACCCAAGAATTATGCCGCCATCCATATCTGGAGTTACAAATAATCCTTCATTGATGCACACATTTAGAATAGTCTATTTTTGCTTTAACCAATGGAAACTGTTTACCTGGATCACACTTTTTCTGGACTTGTGTAAAGAGTATAATTGCTGCATTGTTGTATTGTAAGGCAGATCGGCCTATAGGAACTCATTGCAAGTGTTGAAGCTGTCTTCTGCTGATTAAACTGCAAACAGTAAACTTCATTTATTTCTTTGAATCTCTGATTCCAGCTCTTCTTCATCTGACAGACTGGTCATTCTTTTGGTATAAACTGGAAATAACCCCTACATACTACTAAAAATGACCTTTGTAACTGCTGCATTTTTGTTTAAAATAGAGAAAATCGAACTAAAACAAAAATCAAGAGCTTGTGAATCTTAATCAGCGCTTGTCCTGCATCACAAGATATTTTACAGTACTCACACATAATTATTTATTAAAATGTTTATTAAATGCCCACAGGATAAATTTGGGCCTTTATTTTATAAAACATTACATCAGAATGTCACAGCAAAAATATCACATACAGTACAGCTCCAGAGACAATGCAAGTCATACTGTTGTGTATAAAACAGGCTGTAGAAACAATAGCGTGTAGTCAGATAGCGTGTAGTCAGAGCATCAGGATGAAGGTGATCAGAGGAAGACAGAGAATCAGAAAGCTCTGAGTGACACTTTTAGCTCCGTTACATAGATTCCCTGAACAACAGGAGAAGCTCTTAAATGGACCCGTTCCTTTGGCATCACAGAAAGATTTCGATGCACATCCTTTTAAAATCTCTGGCTGGCCTGAGAAATCAGCTGGGGGAGGGGAAAGCTTAATTGAACTGGATTCTGGTAGATTGTGATCTGTATCAAATCTCAAACACAAGAGAAATACAAATAATGTCTTTTTTATTTTTTTGTTTCCAGATTCTCACCTGTTGCTGTAACGCAGTGATCTTCTGTCCCTGAGCAGCTCAGAGAATATAAGCAACTGTTCTCCTTACAGTAGTAACACATCTTTCCATTAGGAGTGCCAGTGCTGGGATCTACAGCAGGAAAACAAAAGGTATTCCTTTATTTACTTTAGCTGCTGCATTAATTCAATGGCCCATATGCACAGCTAGTATAAACTTTCAGTGAAAGCTTAATGTGACTATTTTCTATTTTATACTTTCTTTGTACAGCATCCATCATGTAATGTAATTAAAATACAATCAGTTATATAGATTTAAGCATTCATTTAGTTGTGCAAGCGTAAAACGAGATGAAAGACCGTGTAAACACAAAAATCATTAATAGCAGCAGCGCAAAAACTCTATTGAAAATACTGGGGTATTACTCCATATTTTAAAGATATAGTGGGGAAATTTAATTTAATGCAGTGCTTTCTGTCCAGTCTGAGACCCACTTTATATCGTATACAGAGATGGGAGGTAACGAGTAGAAATACTTCGGTACTTAAGCTGATTTTTCTGGTATCAGTACTTTACTCCACTACTTATTTTTTGACAACTTTTTACTTTTTTTTTTTTTTTTTTACATTTTTACACATATCTATAATTTCTACTCCTTACATTTGTTAAACCACGGTTGTTACTTTCGTTTTCATGTGTTTGGTGGCGCGATCTATATTATTGCTTGTCATTGCGCAATACAAACAATTTTTTCCTTATTGCGCAACTGTGTGCTGCAGCGCGCGGCCTTTTCAAGGCTATCGCGCACCATACATGGGCTAGTTTATGAAGATTACTTTGAGAAAGGCTAGGATGACTACCCAGATGAGACGGAGGGAATTTAAAATGGCTGATGCTGCCCTGTTTACTTGGTAATATGGAAAAAGTTTTTTAAAGTTATGTGAAAAAATATATAGTGTTTATCAGAGGCATTCCTAGACATAAAGCTCTACCGGGGCACAGCACCCCCTCCAAATAAATAAAAATAAAAATACACATAGCAGTATTATTGTTATTATACAATTTTTTTATTCTAAATAAATAACAGAAATTAATCCTAAATGTAACTAAAAACAAAACACAACTGGGGTGATGCTAAGATACACTGTAAAAAATGGCCGTGATTTCAACAGTAATAAAACTGTAAAAATGCTACAGTACAAATCCGTAACCTGGTTAACGGTATGTTTCCTTAATATACACGGCGAATAACCGTAATTTGCTTTTCCAGAATTCCCTGTAACGCACATCACTTTTTATGCTTTTTGTTGACATTACTATGGATCTTTTTAGTTGTTTCCCCATCAGCTATGTACATTAGAAATTTATGTTACATCTAATGTTGATAAACAATGTATATTTCATGACTTTAATTTTATGCATGTTACCATACTGGTGTTTACGAGCTGTGTGAATGACACTGAACACCTTCTATACTGATACACTTTTCTGCTTGTGGGAAAAGTTGATTGTGATGAGCATTGGTTCCTTTTTTTGTAACTTGCTCTTCACCACCTGCATATGACTGTGTTAACGTGTCTAACTGTGTAACAAAAGATGTGTAGATGTTGATCTTTCAAAATACAGACATATTACCTCTATAAATTAATACAATATGGTAGTTTACCGTAAAAATGAGAAATTACTTTTACGGTTTGTACTGTAATTTTAACGGTAAAGTACTGGCAACCACAGCATCGTTTTTTTTTACCGTAAACTTTACGGATTTATTTTTTAAAGTGTAATTTAAGAAATCTTTTGAATAAATATTAGTTTTATTAGAATAAAATTATATAGACAATTCAATAGACTACAAATGTTTTGCTAGAATGTTTTATAGAATTATCTGTTGTGTGTTGTCTTAGACCCGACTCAAGGCCGAGAATTACAGTAGGTTTATTAAGTCTTACCTCACTGACTTCATCCCTCCTTTCTGCTTCATACCAAAAAATCTATTAGGAGCCATGCAGTAAATAAGATCACCATCACATTATTTAAACTTTGTTTTGTTGACTTGCAAAACTCACTGCGTGTCGGTTTTCGGATTTTTTTCGGCAGAGCAGAGCAGAGCAGCGTGTCAGCGTCAAGCAGGAGTGGTGTGCGTCAGGCGCGCGGGTATGTTTTTTTTTTCTGCGCACATGCTCAGTTTGCTTTTTGATTAAACTACATTGCTTTCATCAGCGTAAGTTTGGTTGTACATCGAGAATGATGTCTTTATTCGGGGATTTACACTCTTAATAAATACACTTGCATATAAGGTAAATCGTATCTCAAAGCATTTACTGGGGCACTGGCGATTTTTACTGGGGTATGAGCCCCAGTAAATGGGGTCTCTAGCGACGCCCCTGGTATATGCTTGTTTTTACGTTATTTAAAATATGTGGCTAAAAAATAGCTAATTACAATTAGTTTTTTGATCGGTAAAAAAAATGCTTAGCAGTTACCCCCTATGTACAGTACTGTAAATCTGAAATTTCATTTTTCATGGTCTTGAAAAAAGTCTTAAATTTGACTTTGTGAAACCTGCAAAAACCCTGTAATAATGGACAATATTACTTAAATGCACATTTTAAAATAAATTAAATTAATATACCGTACTATACTGAAGCTTGTGATGCAAAACTTAATTAAATATTTTGTGTTGTTTGTGTTTGTTTGGGTGTTTTTAAACATCAGCTTTATAATAAGAAATGCTGCCGACAGGCACACTTAATTTTACTGTGTAAATAGTGTTGAATTACTGAAAAAATAGGATATACTCAGCATGGTATAATACCTGGTGCATCTTCTTTGTTGCACCGGTCACTGTTACAGCATGTAGAAGACATCTGTGAAACGCCAAAGTTTATGGTCCCAACTTCACAATCAGCAGAACAATCTTTACCCTTCATTTTAAGACCTAAAAAACATGAATGATCCATTTATGATCAACAGAACTGCAGGAATTGTTTTAAAACATTTAGCATTTTTAAAATACTACTTGTATTGTTAGCATTAATTGTCTGGTAGAAATGAAATAAATGCTGGGAAACTGTTTCTAATGATTTGTAACTGCACTATTATATATTCCTCCTAAAACACACATGAGAAGAGTCATTTCCACTGCAGCAGCAGAAAACAATACCACAATCTGCATCAGTCAAATTCAGCAGTAAAGTTCAGCTCATAATATTGGCCTTACCAAGGTTGCTGACCAATGTGACACTCTCACACATAGACTTTCCACTGGGACAGGTTATTTCTGATGGAAATATACATACACCCATCACACTGCCACACTGGTAACAGCTGAGAGAGTGTCCTGTAGTGATGAAGCAGAGAGAGAGAGACATTAGTGGTCTGTGTTTGTGTTCAGTAGTCAGTAACATTACAAACACTGCGACTTACCTGAAGTAAAGGCGACAAAAAGAAGAAAAACTGACACTTGCAGATCCATCTTGCATGAAGCACTGAATGAAATAACATGTGTGTCTCACTAAACATTATATAGCTTGTAAGAAGGGGAGGGTCTTAAATTTTTTTAAAAGAGGGGTGGGTTATGAGAAAGCGAAAGTTTAACGGACCCTTGATGTATTTCTGGAATCAGAAATGTAAGTCATTTATTTGGCAGTTTGTTAAAAAGGTTGAATGCACCATTACAGGTAGTATATCGTCCTAAATCATTTTTAAAAGTGATAGTTCAGTCAAGTTGACTCTCATCCTGATGTCTATCCAAGACCAGGGCTGAATCTGTAAAAGAAGGTTTCGTTTTCACACTTGATTTTACAGCCAGTTCACCCCAACTTCACATTTGTGAAACTTTACAGAGTGGTCAGATAGTGAGGGGGTCTCATCATGATCGCACACAGAAAGGAATGCAGTTTTTGCTGAGAATAAACTCGGCAATGTTTTAGGTGGTTAAAAAAATTCCGATAAGGATAAAGGTGTTTCCTTCAGTTTTTTGGCCAGGCAGTGGATTTGTGTTAACCCTCTCATTGACTTACAGGTCAAAAATGAGTCGTGCACTATTTCATCAGCAGAAAATAATCTTTATCTAAGTTTGGGGGCGATATGGTGGCTCAGGGGTTAGCACTGTCGCCTCACAGCAAGAAGGTTGCTAGTTTGAGTGCCGGCTGGGCCAGTTTGCATTTTTTTGTGGAGTGTGCATGTTCTCCCCGCGTTGGTATGGGTTTCCTTTGGATGGTCTGGTTTCTCACACAAGTCCAAAGACATGTGCTATAGGTGAATTGAATAATAAACTAAATTGTTCATAGTGCATACCTGTCAACCCTCCCGTTTTTCCCAGGATTCTCCCATATTTTACAGTTTTATCCTGCTATCATCCCGTAAAGGTATTTCCCTGTATTTCTCCTGTATTTTCAGTCTTTCTCTGAAGGGTGGCAAAAAAACATTTAAGAGCCGATCCTCCCTATACTCAACCCATACCACCGAACCACCAGGGGTCGCCATTACTCTTAAATGTGAGTCTGTTCTGTGCTTTCGCTTTGTTCGAGTATGAAAACATTTTGAAATAAACATAAAACGGCACCATTCCCTTTTATTTTTATAACAGGTGCTGTCTCCCCTTCATATTCAATCCTCAAAAACAGTCATATAGCGCTGCATGACTGTCAGCTGACGCGCTCCATAGTGATAAAATAGAGTAGACGCTGTTTCCTAAATGGATTCTGTACTCGTGATTTGAAGCGGAGTGAAAGTCTGGGTTTTGGGTGCATGTTTGAACAGACATATAGACATCGGGGTCGGGGGAATCCCTTATTATGGTGGGCATATCCCTTATTTTCACATCCCAATGTTGACATGGTATAAGTGTGTGCGTATGAATGAGTGTGTATAGATGTTTCCCAGTACTGGGTTGCAGCTTGAATGACATCTGCTGTGTAAAACACATGCTGGATAAGTTGGAGGTTCAGCAACCCCTGATAAATAGAGAGACTATGGGCCTACTCACTCTATGCCATCCATACCGTGCCCAGGCCCGTTTCCCGGACCGTTTGAGAAGTGTGAGTGCGCTGAATCGGGCTCAAGCACGGTTCACTTGGCCGGCCCTGGCCCGGTTGGAAGAGGTGGGCCTGAGCGCGGTTCACTTGGGCTTTGGCACGGTACGCTTGTGTGTGAGTGGAAAACGCGCCAAAGCCCGAAACTGAAAGCGAGACGTGACTTTTAAGGGGCTGTTTCACATGGATTTATTAATCATTCTTACTGTTCAGTGAACGCAAACTACCGTAGCTTATTAAATACGCAAACCGATAACTGCACACCAGCTGCGCGCCTTCAGCAGACCTCCTCATTTCTGCAGCACGAGAGCTTTATGATTGTTTATGAGCGCCAAAAGTGGCGGATCTGTTTGGCGAAATATCTTACTGCGTGTCACCGCATCCCTAAGGACTGTTTGGCGAAATATCTGACTGCGTGTCACTGCATAACAAACAACTGAAACGATATAACTAGAGAAATCTCCACTGTGCTGCTGAGTGAGAGAGCGCTTCTCACTGAACAGCGCAGCAGCGATGACGTAAGCGTGCCCAGGCCCGATTGTGTTGTGAGTGCGGGCCAGGAGGGGGGGACAAGCGTGCTTTGGCCCGGTTCGAGGCAACTGTACCAAGTGTGAGTACAGCCTAAGCCAAAGGAAAATAATAAATGAATGAATCTAAATTTGGGGATATTTTTTTTTTTAATGTCTCCTTACATTAGAAAAAATGAATCATTTTTGTATTTTCAGTAGACAATGGAATAGAATTTTGTTTTAGGGTACAACTGTCCTGCCAGCTATCAAACCTTTTTTACACCACACCAATACAACAAATTCCAGAGGGCCAGGGTTTGAATTACAGAGAGGGTTGGGGATTCTGACCCCCTATCTAACGCTAAATCCCCCTGAAGAAAAACAAAACAAGATGTATGGGCAGTCACTACTTAAATAGTGAGTAAGAGTTTGCTCTGATCTGGATCTTACATAATAACATTAATAACAAAAATAATAGATCATATACACTATGATCTGTAATATTTGTAAAGTTTTTCCAATTTGTTTCATTTTTCCCAGTTTACCTAGTGAAAAAAACAGCTTAAACCAGCCTAGGCTGGTTAACTGGTTTTAGCTGGTCGATCAGGCTGGTTTTAGAGGGGTTTTGGCCACTTCCAGGCTGGTTTCCAGCCATTTCCAGCCTGGTCTTAGCTGGTCAGGCTGGGAGATGACCAGCTAAAACCAGCTTGACCAGCCTAGCCAGGCTGGGAGCCCAGCCAAAACCAGCTATATCCAGCTTAAACCAGGCTGGTCAAGCTGGTTTTAGCTGGATTTAGCTGGTCATTTTCCAGCCTGACCAGCTAAAACCAGGCTGGAAATGGCCAAAACCCCTCTAAAACCAGCCTGGTCAACCAGCTAAAACCAGCCAACCAGCCTAGGCTGGTTTTTGAATTGCATTATGGGACCTTGATCTTTTTTTTTTTTTTAAGAATCTTTAACCTTAAAATGTACTTTTAAAAACTTTTGATATATTTTAAATTTATATATTGTCTGGGTTGGTGTTATATATTACAGTACAAAAACCTTGTAAGAAACTGCCAGAACATTTTCAGTTTTTTTACAGACTTAATTTCTATATAGATATTATTTCTTATAAATTATATTATTTCAAATTACTAAAATGTCAATCAAAGTCTCTTTCAATGGAAAGTGAATTCAATGGTGAATAAGACAGGAAGGGAGTTCAGTGTTCAGACACAGGGATTGTCCCAGAGTGTTGAGCTCCAGCCCTTTTAAACACAACTGAACCAACCTAAAACAGGATTACTGGAAACCTCCAAGAAGGTGTTTTTGTAATGCTGTGTAATATTGTGCATATATAAAAAAGTATTAATATAAACAATGTATTTTGTGACACCACGAAATAAACAATAATTTTGTTCATATGATATATACAGTTGGGGAAATCAGTATTGAACGCGTCACCATTTTTCGCAGAAAACATATTTCTAAAGTTGCTGTTGACTTGGAATTTCCACCAGATGTTGATAAAGAAACCCATAGACAGTATGCTATGAAAACTAAACTAATTAGTTTACAATTGCAGTTATATGTAATGAAATAAAATGAAACGGGAAAAAAGTATTGAACACATGAAGTAAGGGAGGTGTACAAAGGCATGCAGTGAAAGCCCAGACAGCAGCTGAAATCTCTTAGTAGTTCTTCAGCAAACCTCTGCTCCTCCTCAGTGTAAATGAATATTCGCTGCTTCAGTCCAACATCTACATTAGCAGGAGGATGAAGATGAAACCCGGATGGACATTTCAGCAAGGCAATGATCCAAAACACAGCCAAGGAAACTCTCAAATTCTTTAAAATAAAAGAAAATCAAGCTGTAGAATGGCCCAGCCAATCACCTAACTCGAATCCAATAGAACAGTGGTCTTCAAAGTATTTTCACTAAGTACCACTTCAGAATAAACTTGTCTTACCAAGTACCACCATAATCAACAGTATTGAAAAAAAGTAGCGCAGTTAGCACAATTAAGCAGCTACAGCACTACACAGTTTGAGTCATATTCATTCAACGAAATTATATTCCATACAAAATATGAAGCCTATCAGTGGGTTTTTGTCACGTGACTCGAGGTGCAGTATTCTAAAAAGTTAATATGTTTTTAAGTGGGTACGCCTGGAATATGCAAGCGCGTCGTGCTGCAGTTTTTACTCATTTTGTTAGCCTGAGGGTTAAATTTTGGCACTCTAGTGACCGAGATGTTGATGTCAATTGAATTGATTTTTAGCAGCTGATGACTCGACGCACTAAAGTAAACATTTTAAACACATCGCTTTGATCATAGGCTTTAGAGAACAGCCAATGTTGATCACAATGGTGTTATTGTATGAATTAAATTATTAAATTGTATTAGTTTTTTCTTTCATTTCTCAGTGATTCTTCTGCGTACCACTAGTGGTACACATACTACAGTTTGAGAACCACTGCAATAGAACATACAAAATAAAGATCAGATGAGACCCACAGAAGCATCAAGTTTTTTACACTCTGTTGAAGTTCACACTTGAAAAATCACACCCGAGCAATGCTTATGACTTCATTTTCCATATGAGAGGTGTCTTTTAGCTGCCGTCATTAAAAAAAAACTCTCCCTTTGTGTCATTTTATTGTTACTTAACCAATTTTTCAGATTTTTTTTGTTTCATTTTTTTTATGTTTGTATTGTTTGTATTTTTACCAAAATCTGGTTCAGTTACATGTCAACAGCTCCTTTAGAAATGTTATTCCCAGGAAAAAAAAAATCTTATTGTCATATTGTACAGCTGACAACCAAAGTCAAATAAAAAAGCTTGCTAAAATATTTTTTTCTTTCAACAGACTCACTGTACCGTAAGAAAGAAGTCGTGTTTGCAACAACATGCGGGTGAGTACACGAGTGTTCAGCTGAACTATTTGTTTAAGCCACAAACTCAT